TTGCAACACAGTCAATGAGCTTCCAGAAAAGAGTCAAAATCTGCGACCTATGCTTTTTAAGATGGCCAAGTTTCACAATTTTTCTAAAATTTTATAACAAACCTCAGAAGGAGCCCAAGTAGTGGATGGACGGAGCAAACCATACAAGAAACAGCACAACTTTTTTCTACTTTCCAGAGCTCGTCATAATTTTTGTACAGATTTTTTGATGGAACCGCCAAATTCTAGCAGGATCGTCTCAGACACAAATGCATCAAACACCAAGAAATCTTCGGATTTTGAAACTTACAAAGATGGATTATGGTTTGGCAACAATTTTACAAACCAAACGAGCATTCACCGCTTCGGTTTAGCAACTCTCGAAAATTTCGGTACATCCTGGGGTACCTTGGAAAAGTCGAATTATGATGATTTTATCCCAGAAACCTTGATGAATCGGGAACAAAAAACAACCGCTAGAAAGAGGAGAAAAAGCTGCATCGAATGACACCCGAGTCGCTTGCCGGTTATTGTTCTGTGAGGTTTGACTTGACTAAATATGGAATTTGATGGCATTGAGAAATTGATTGTAGAAACTCTGAGAAGCAAGCTAAGGAAAAGAAAAAATTATTATGTGTTCTATAGTGTTTGCTCTATCTACCTGCCACTTGTGCTTTTTCGGAGATTAGGTACAAAAATTTAGAAAAATAGCCGAACTTAACCATGGCAAAAAGCGTGAGTCGCAGATTTTGGTAATTTTTCGAAAGCTCATTGAACATTATGGAGTGAAATTAGAATCATTAGAAAGAGGATGAAATGCTGCATCGAACGCTTCTAAAATCTCTTGAAAATGTTGATTCCACGAATAGTGGCGTTCATTCGAAAAAAGCGACATTACTTTCGGAACGACCTAATACATGGTCGTTTTCCTGCATGTATGAGCTATATAATCACGTGCATGGGATAAGCTCAGGATGTCTAAGGGCGGAGTTTGCCAATTTAGCCCATTCATTTTCTTTCATGGTTGCTGCATAAGTTCTGTCCGATTTGAATTTTTTAAGTTCAAAATGTCATAACTTCCTTCAAAGTAAGCTTTTACTCAAGATCCTATTTCTGTTTGCTGAGCAGTTCCTTGGCTATCAGACACATATTAAGACCTGCGAAAATCCTTGTTAAGGAGGAAGCAAAAACTTGAAAACTTCGCAGCGTTTTTCTTCAAACCTGTCTTTTTTGACATGGTAATGCTCCCTTATGAGAATTGATAGGCTTTTTATCTAACAACGGATAGATAGAGAAATTTTCGTAGATTATTTCGCAACATACAGGTGCCTACAAGGTCTGCGTTGCCGAGAGATTTTTTTGACTGAGCGAAAAAGAAGCCACTTTATGATCTCGCTTTAGCGCATATGATAATGCTTATTTACGAATTGTAAAAATTTTACAATTGACGTGACGCCGAGAAGGAATTGTTGGATGGGCCTTGCTAGCTCTTGCTTTACCCTAGCACTTCCAACTTTGAACTCATAGATTACTTCTATTCGCAGAAAGTTCCTGCTTGTAAAACACATATACAAAAGATCAATGTTCGACGATAAATTTTACTAGCAAGACGTTTTCTTCATAGAACCGAGCTCCTGCGTATACTAGCCTTTTACACCCTTATTCCGCGACCAATGAAAAAACTTGACTTGAAGGGCGCATTGTGGAGATTTGCTCGCAAGAACATATTTTCAGGGTGAGGACATACCTCGGCCACTTGAATATTTCAGGACTAAAATCTCCTTACACTAAGAAATTTATTGAAATTTGATATGCTTAGCAAGAGCAAGAAAAGTACTTTCTAATGATACTAACAGTATCGCATTAGAAATGAAATTCTCTTAGAACAGTTGCTTCAAACATAAAGCAAAAAAATGCGGACAGAACTTATGCAGCAGCCTAATATTTCTAGCCATGGGAAAAATACCGAAATACCACGGTTGAACGTGCGATCTGTCAAGTATACGCTAGGTTAGATGGGGCATTTCTACGGCATTTTGAGGCGGAGATACGATTTTTGAGGAAAAAGTTCGTTTTTTACTGCTATCACATTTCAGCTCGAAGCTTCCGGTAAGATACGATTTGGGCGGATTCTTCATAGCCATCTTGTAAAGCTTGCTTTGCCCTGTCGAATGATTACTCAAGTCACATCAGTAAAAGGGAAAATACAAAGAGAAGATGGTTGTAGTAAAAACGGTAGAAAATTGTGGGACGCCCTAATAGGTTCGAGTTCTCTTCAAAGCCTCCTACTAGGGTTTGTATTCAGTGAAGGTTCATTCCCACAAGAAGCATGCTTTTTGCGCTTACTTGAACATCTTTCATTCTTTCACCTTGAGACGACCCTTCTCTCTCTTGTAGTTAGTTGTAGTTGCTAGAAAATTTTCTGGAATTGCTGCATTTTTATTACAATGATTTTGAGTGATACTGTCGATATAAAACCTACGCAGGATTAGCGATGCAAAGTCACTGTTTCGTCTTTTTATATGTTTCTTTCTCCAATCTAATTCTAGCTCTGAGTTTGTGCGGCGTGATCCATGTGAAAAGAGTGACTATAAATCATATAGTCTAATATTTATGAGTTACACTGATTGCACATTCGTTCATTTGTATACAACCTTCTGCTCACAAGTTTACCTTTTTTTGAACGATTTCCATTCAAACCGCTACAATTATTACGAACTAGATGGCGCCCCGGTCTCGTGGATTTGGGCTACTTGATCCCAAAAACATTGGAACTTACCGCCCTTCTTCATATCTGCGATGAAATGTGAGTCTTCCTTGCTGATTTGAAACACCGGATCCTTTTCGCCGAAAAATGTAAATGAACTTTACCGCCCGACTTACATGACTATGGGGAAATGATTCAACAATAATTGTTGAACCCTCGATGCAAGTAAACAAAACAATAAATCGATTGAATGGCTTAACAAATCGTCGCAAAAAGTAGCCTATCTTCTGCGCCGTGCCTTATTCATAAGGGGACGAATTTTAGCCCCATCGGTTCACATACAAAAGAGTCTATAAGCCATATACTTACAAACGAACAAATTCACAGAGATTCGGTTTTATTTATACATAGGTTTTCAAGCGCATGCAATGAAACTCATTTTTTTGAATCGTTATAAATCAAGGCAACTATTAGGTGGGTCCGAAAGTTCGTGCCGTTTTTAGACCTACTACAAAATCGTTCAAAATGAAGATAGACAAATCGTTTGAATAGTATCCGATGCAGAATTTCTTCCTCTTTCCAGGAGCTATGCTTTCGAAGTGGCTATTTCGCTGAGATAATTGACGAATACCAGAACACTTCATTTTTACCAGGTCTGACTTTCGGTAATTTTCAGAGTTTTCATTTTAGACATTTGAAGGTGCTTCAATAACCCCCTGACAAGGCAAACCTTTTTCAAATTAGAGCAATTTTTTGCATTTTTCTAGCTTTCTTTTGAGAATTTTGCTAAATTATTTTACTGGAGCATTGGATTTTGAAGAAGTCGCGTGCCACTGCACCAAACACAGCGAAATCCTCAAAATATCGAAGTTCTAAAACTTGATTATTACTATCACTAGTATTACAAAGTAAATGAGCGATTACGGCGTAAAAATGGGAAGATTTTGGAATTTGGACTACACCCTTGCGCACCCGTAAGATTGGGAAGTACAGCAAATTTTTTCTGCAAAATTCGCATATTTCGCGAAGAAAAGGTGGCCACCGGAAAGAAAAAAAAGATGCATCGAATGGCACCTAAATTGTTCAACGCCTGATGTTTTGCGAGGTGAGAATGAGACAAATACAAAATTTTGGTCACTTCAGAAAATACATGTCAATAATTCTAGAAAGCATGCCAAAATACAAAAAATTGCATCAATTTGAAAAGGGTTTACCTTATTAGGGTTACTGAAGCACCTCAAAAAGTCTAAAATGAAAACTTTGAAAATTACCGAAAGTCAGACATGTTGAAAATGAAGGGTTTCTTTTCGAAAATCATCTCAGCGCTCGTCGAAGCAGTCACAACGAAGACGCAGCTGTGAAAGAGGAAGAAATTCTGCATCGGATACTTTTTGAAAGATTTGTCTATCTTCATTTTGAACGATTTTAGAACAGGTCTAAAAAACGGCACGAACTTTCGGACCCACCCAATATAAGACATTATGTTCCGAACATGCACCGAGTTTCATGCAACTTTATATCGGGTAATGCAGGATAAAAAGAAAACGAGATCATGCTAGCTTTAAATGTACACAATCCATGAATATTTTTCGATAAGAAGGAACGTAACTTCTACCAGTCAAAATTGCGAAATAGGAGATAATAAGTTGAGAATGCATTTTGGCATTGCATGAAGAAGATTGTCAAGTTACGGTATGACTGTGCAATCAACACACAAAAGTTGTTGAAGTTTTGTTGCTTTTTACTACTCAACCCGCTAATTTCTAAATACTGTGCTCGTTGGAGTGCAGTCATGCTGTCATGAACATAAAGTCAGAAATGAGCCCACACCCCACAGGCCCATGGATTTGTATCGCTCCTGATCTGGTACGGTGAACTGCAAAACAAAATCAACTGCTTACCATAACCACAACGCAACTGCAGAGTTGTTCAACTTGCCGGGGGAAATCAAATAGAGAATGAGTGCGAAAAAACGCTTTATGTGTTGGATTTTGCTTGCACCGCAGTTTAAAATGTTGGGTTGCTTCGGATAATACACGGCAGCATAAGCGCACTCTTAGTTGAGCACAAGATTATTATATCATACTTTGCGAATGCGGACCTTCTTACCATGCAAAGCCAAATCAGATCAATGAAAAGCACAAAAGTCGAGTAGAAACTATTCATCGTCTGTATTTGTTTTTGGATAATGCCTTTGCCTTCTAATTTAATGCAAGAAGTCGTGAGAAAGAATCAAAACAACGCATCATAGCGGCAAATATTTTCACAAGAAAAAAAAGGAAGGAAAAGTAATTCGATAACAAAGATAAGTAAATTCTGTCATTGTACAAACGAGGACAATAAAGAGAGTTGATTCAGATGCGAACACAACACTCGAAAGGCAACAAGATTATGTTTGAACTCCGTTTCCAATTCAACGGAACATACACGAATATCACGGGCATAGAAAGTCAAGCATCTAATTCAGTACAAACCACAACCTTGGAGGTTTGCTTGGATGATCATATCGATGACAGAGTCAAGAATCATTTGCACTTGATTTGTATCAGTGGCGCATGTTTGGTGCATATAGATTGTTTTTTCGGGATTAGCATTCAGTGCTTCGAATTTTTCTTCAATAAAGGCAGTCGCCTCGTCGTAGTTTTGGGCACCTATAAATCAACATGAGGAAGGAACGAAAGTGGTAATCGATCATCAACGATGACTGTAAATGTAATCCTAATTTTTGCTACGATGAACGTGAACGTCTCACAAGCTCGCAAAACCCTGCGATCCCTGCCGCTTCCCGAAACTTCGCAGGTGCATATGCGTCAAAATGCGGGAGCGGACTTGTGATTACTCCTCCTTTCGCATCATTAGATGGGACTTACAGATTTTAGTCAGCAGAGATAAATTAATCCACCTTAGGCCTCAGACAGAGGTCACGCGATTTGATCGTAGCGATTGATCGCGACAAGACAACTGTAACAATATCATTGCATGCCGATCTTCTTGCATTTCGGTTGTAATAGTTTTCCAACACAACTGATCGTGACTAGCTACACAACCAATATACAAGAAGATCGGCATGCAATGAACTCGTAACACTTGTCTTGTGTATCGCGACGATCAAATCGCGTGAACTCTGCCCGAGGCCTTACCCATTTCTTTTTACGCGACCTAAATTTTAGATAAACCCTCTCACATCTGTTGCTTATTCCCCGTATCACACCACATAATTAAGCGCGTTCTACCAATTAGCAAATAACAAACGGCGGAGAGGCAAACGAGTAACGAAACAATATCTTTAGCGGAACTATGGCAACAGTGCGCCCCGACAAGTCGTAAATGTCATCACTCATGTCGCTTTGACGGAAACAAAACACGATGTAATAATCAACGATTCGACTGTCCTATGCAATTTTGATTTAGCTGAAATTAAGAGGAATATCGGAAGCATTTACCTTTATAGTCGGGGAAAGCGACAGTAATATTCGTTCGCTGAATTTTTTCGGCAAACAAATCTTTTTTATTCAAGAAGAGGATCATTGAAGTGTTGATAAACCATCGGCTATTGCAGATGGATTCGAATAACCGCATTGATTCAACCATTCTATTCTGGAATTTTGCGGAAATTACGGAAGTTGTTTCGAAAAGTTTCTCTGCAATTACAAACCGTGGTCTCATCTTCGAAAAGCACTTGGTCGTATTCCGATATGGCCGCTATGAATATGATTGCATTAACATCTTCAAAACAATGAATCCATTTCTTTCGTTCTGATCGTTGACCACCGACGTCGAATACCCTGAAAATTAGATAAACTTGTGTTATCAACGTCATATTAATCAGTAGCTACGCTAGTTTTCTATGCTTTGACAGGTGCATAAATGTTAACCAACGCTAAGGTATGGAAAAAAATTGTGCGACTAGCTGGTCCGTACGTTTATACATTAGCCCAGGGCGTGATGCTCGCATGCTATAACAACAGATTATGCCGTAACGCCACAAGTTGGACGATAAATTTTGTCCTAGTGATACGATTACAATTTCAAAGAGAACTGGTGCTAAACGAGCACAAAACTCAACCATGCGAGGAGCTGTCTCGTTCCTTGCTTGTCCGTAATTTCAGAAAGATGATAAAGTTAAAAAATAACCCAGCAGATACTTGCCAGCTGCAAAGACGTAAGATGGCAGCGAAGCATTTCTCCGCTTTCTTGGCTGTCAATTCTCATCGTAATTCTTTTCCGTTTAGCTTAACAATTAAGCAGATCATATCTGCATTTAGACCACTCAGTAGTCAAACGAATTCAAACGAATTCAAGCTCAACCTCTAACCTAAAAAATCGTCAGAGGCAAAAGGCTAATCTTACGGCTCAATCCCATACAAGCAATAGATTAAAATCGTTTAAGAGCTCTCCCATTTTCTTTAGCCATAAAGCTGGCTACGTGCCAAAGAGAAGAGGCCCAACAGCTACATCTAGCATCTTGCAGCAAAGCGCGTATTGAATACTGTGACCAGAGTTGAGCAAAAGGTCAGGCACAAATCGTTCATTCCCCCCTCCCTTCCAGGAAAACCCGAAACGACCCCTCTTAATCCTCTCCACCTCTGGAACCTCAGAGTGTGACACTCTGGAGAAGACGAGTCTGTCCTGCAGAGTTTTTGAATTTTATGAGACTGTATGATCGCTTTTCTGTGATTGCACATTACAAGCACACGCAATTTGACGGCGGATTTTGATGTGAATTGCCCTATTGAACGAGCCAAAATTTCCCCAGGGGTGGAGTGTTTTGCTCCAAATATTCACTGAGGCAAGAAGAGGATATGAGTTCAATACTCATACCAGGAATGGACTGATTTCTAGATTTTAAAGACAAGGTAAGTTGGTCAGGCGCAAGGCTACAAAAGCTCAGGCGGCCTGACCTTTTGAGGGGTTGCGCCCGACCCCATTAACTTTATCTCCAAAGGCGCTTTTTCATTCAAGTTGTGTGTAATTCGCTAGCATAAACCTCGAACATTCTACAATAGGTGTTTGAGCTTGGCTCGACTTAGACTTGTTTCGGCTTTGTCGTAATCCGCGGAATTTATGCGCTCAAGGTGAAAAACGCGATGTTTGGAATATTAGCAGTATACTTAATAATCCACTATTTGAAAGCGATATGAATTCTAATTTCTAGTATAGACTAATAGGGAACATTACTATGTTATGAGTATAAAGAAAGCTAACTTCTTTCGCTTCTGAAACCAAGTTAATCATGTTTGATTCTGGCTTTTTAGACTATAGAAAACGCTAAAAAATGTAATAGATAATGGTCTGTAATGCTAGTAGAGGTGATTTGATATGCTAATTACGAACTATAAAAACTTACAGAGCAAGCTTCTTTGGTGACCTTAGGGTCCTTTCATACTACGCCGCGTACGCCGCTGCAGCGCAATGAAAATATGTTCACGGCAGCAGAGCTCCACTTTTTTTATGTATCTATATATTTGCTGCACATTCGTGTCCCTCAATAGTGTTCCTTCACATTATGCATTTTCTTCCTCTCTTTTTATTTATCCTGTCTATCCTTTGTCTATATCAATGATTGATGGAATGACTTGGGTTGTTGTGCTCCCTCTACTTTTGAGTTTCACATTTTGTATTGTAACTGACTGCACATTGCGTCACCTGGTTGTATATTGGTAGCAGTGGCGTACCCAGGATTTCGGCTCGGGGGGGGGCGGCAAAAAAAATTTTCAAATGAAGGTGCGTGGCGTTAGCCACGCACTCCGAAAAAATTAAGAGGGCTTCTAAAAATTTCTGCGGTCCCCTAACCCCAATGCGGCAAAAAACACTAGGTGGTTTTACTTACAACTGTACAGAAATAAATGATGAAATAACGCTCGTAATAATAAGCAGTTTTAGAGAAACATCAAAAAAAGTGGATCTCTGCTGCCGTGAGCATAATTCCATTGCGCTGCAGCGGCGTGCGCGGCGTAGTATGAAAGAACCCTTAGTAGTGTCAGGTAAGGGATGGAGAATTGAAATTTGGCTGAAACTCGATGGAGTCAATCAACATGCTGATCACGACAGTCATTCCTTCAATTCTATTGGAGTTGTCATATGCATCGGTCTAAAACTTCTTCTTCACCTTACTCGATTGTAGTATTTCCTTAGTTTTGAGTGCATTCGATTCTTGATTACGACCCCCTACCCTCAGTCTTACCACCAATACGACCCCCCAGGTCGGGCGCGCCTGACCTCACGTTCAACCCTATGTGACTACCTAACAGCGCAGCAACTGGTCTCCTGGCCGCCATGTTCCGAGGAGCACGCGTGCATGGCGAGACACAAGACATTACAGGTTGGCTGAGATGTAGTCTGTACATGGCTGCCTGTTTTGTTGCTTTTCTATTAATCTGTTCTTACAGATACAAGACACACTTGTTTATTTTCTGAACTCCACCAGTCTGAACACACCAAAAAATATCGCGATCAAAGGACCCTTTACTCTGTTGCTCCTCGCGTAAAAAAGTTGTGGGAGAGCGACCATTCCGCGAGGTACCTTGGTGCACCGAGCTGCTTGCATGAAAAAAAAAAGGTGCGTCTTGTACCCGTTCAAAATCAGGGTATTAGCTTAGAAAACAACTACGAGGCCTTTCTTAAAAGCACATAAGAAAGACACGTAGTTGATGTACAGTTGTTGACAGCATAAACTGATCGTCATTAGTAGAGCAGGCGGTTACTGGCGCGGCTTGTTTAAGGCGATTTGTGCTGCTGCAAGCGTCATATGTTTGTAGGCAGATTCGCACGACCGCTAAGCTGTCAGAAGATTTTCAAACAATACTTTATTCGCGCGAAGCACGGCCTGCGGCCACTTTTTCCGAGCGCAGAGGCGGTTGACTGGCAGTGACAACGATTTCTCTTCGCTATTGAATGAAAAGCTCACCGAAAATCGACGTTTTTCATTTGAAATTTTACTTCAACGATTCCGGTAGTCTTGATTCGTGAAAGCAATATATCATGTTCTGTAGGTTTGTAGTCTTTGGCAGCTATACGATCTATTGAGCTCAAAAAGCTGGAAAAAGCAAGAATAAAAAGAATGGCTGTCGCACTATAAAGTTCGAACTTACTGTGGAGCACTCTCTGTCAACTGATATTCATTGCCACGATTGATTGCAGTGACTGAAATCGCTGGGTCAGCCCAGAGATTTTTTAGAGCTTGAGTAAGCTCCGGAGTGAATGGCTCGGACTCCTGACCAGCCTTGATTGTGTCTAAGACAACGCGGGCATCTGCCTGAATAACAGCCGTCTATAGCTTGTCTGTGAACACAAATAAAGTTTATGGTAATTATAGGAAGTTTATTTCTCAACAATAATTTATGAAGTTTCTCAAACGTTCAGATAACTCCAACTGATTTACTAAAACTACCGTGGATACTTCAGTGGTTACCGCAGAGTCAAGATAGTGCTGAAATTACTACCCATATACTCTACGAGCCTGAAGAAATACATTTTTGCCCTCCCAGCTCTCACTCCTTCACTCTCAATGCTATCTCCTCTCCCTTAGGGAACGGCCATAGGTTGTCGGTGTTGTCGATGTTGTCGGTGTTGTCGATGTTGTCGATGTTGTCGGTGTTGTCGGTGTTGTCGGTGTTGTCGGTGTTGTCGATGTTGTCGGGGTTGTCGGGTTTGCCGAGGTTGCCGGTCGTTGCAGGACCTCATGATAGCCTCCACGTTTCGCGCGCTCTCTAAACTGTCTCTGACCCCGACAACTCCGACAACACCGACAATATCGACAACACCGACAACACCGACAACATCGACAACCTATGGCCGTTCCCTTACGTGCCCTGTCAGCATTCAGTGGGGATGTTACGCTATACCGCGGTAACGATCATGCCCCTGGAGGCTAAATATCGCCATAATTGGATTGAACTTAGCTGTCTCCTAGCAATACGTACGTAATGTACTTATTATCTTCAGCTACATGCACAATGTACGTGCACATAGCGTAAAAATCTATGAGCTAAGCAAACAACTCACTTGTCAGAGAGAGAAAGAAGAGTTGTGTGGTGAAACGAAACTCCTACGATAAGAGGGATCTGATTAAGTCAGAAAAGAAAGCTCAAACACTGTGGATTACGGTAACACAGCTTGAACAAAAGCTTCATATCTTGGAGTTCCTGTGTTCTGGATTTTATGCGGTCTAACAGTTCGCGAGGTTGGTTTATTTCTATTATATATGGAACAAAAGCGAAAAATTGTGCAAGCCGCATTTTCCAGCTTTCTGTACGATCCCCACATTTCCTGACGGCCGACCGTCTTTACTTAAGAGTCATTTTTCTTTCTTCGAAGTCATTGAAAATTCCAAAGTTGGAATGAGCATCTAACCCGACAGTGATGAGCATGTTCCTGATAGAAACGAATGAATTACTAAGGTGTTAAGATTTTCAAACTTCAACTTCCGACTTGTGGTTCATCGCAACTTTCATGACTTACATCATTCGTTCTTATTTGAAATATCCTTATAAAAGAATGATCACAACAAATATAAAAGAACTTAACCCCGCCATTTCAAACAAGCTATATATTAAAGGACTAGCCTTAAAAGGCTAATCTTAAGAATAAGTTTATCACCTGCCAAACGACTATCTGGAAGGGATTACGGGCGTTTGAGTGTGCGGTTTTGTCAGCTATTCTGTAAGGCATGTTCCACGAAAAACTTTCAGAACCACTTATTTAGGTTTTCGGTGAATGTGCTTCTTCCTTGTAATTAGAGTACTTGAATCGTTATAATTGCGTGCTCTCAAGCTGCCTTTAGATGAACTACAGTCGCTCTAACTAGAATAATTTCTCATACTCAAACGCTCATAACCCCTTTCGGATAATAGTTTGACTGATAATAAACATATATTTGTACTCAGCTCTTCAACACGAGTCCAATGATATCCAAATTGTTTGCTGGCTGAGTTCATTTCTGACCATTCTCTAGCACTGTCAGGCTGGATGGTCATTACAACTTTACAATGTTTTCATTGATCTGAGGAGTTGAAAATGACTGCGGAGATGGTCATTATGCGAAGAGCTGGGAAGCGGTTTGTACTACTCGCTCCTGCTAAGTATGTTCATGGCAAAGGATAGTAGGAACACTTGCGAATAATTCCCCAGAAATCCAAAGCAACAGGAAGTTCAAGATATGAAGTTAGCTTCCGAGCTGCGTTCCTTTCTACAGCGGGGATGTTAGCCTATGCGGCCCTCAGAATCTACAAGCTCCTTTCTCTTAGCGGTCAGGGGTTTCTTTGTTCACGTAGCTTTCCCTCTTGACTAACGATCGGAATTCTTTATATTATGTGGGTAGGTCATAATAAAAATTGTTCACTGGGGAGGGGAGAGGAACTTTTAACTGCCAATGATTTTGACTCATCTTACCTCCTTTGATGGATCTTCCAGTGTAATTTTCAGGCTATTCATTGCTCGAAGAATCTGTGCCATTGCTTGTACTGTATTATTGTAAACAACGCCTTTTTGTTGATCGGCCTCCTCCTGTGAAAAGCCATGGTCGTGAAGAATCCTATAATGAGTAAGATGATGTGGGAATAAAAAAATATGAGTAATTTGTTGTTTTATAGTCACACTGCGCAAAAGACGAGGAAGCAAACTGTTTACGTTGATTAGAAATTTGAATAGTGACTGAGATTTGCTCCAAAATTATCTTCGAAATATATTAACAATGAGTGAAGTATAAGATCAATGCCTACCTCATTTGCTTCAAAACTGTGCTCTTTCCGCATTCTCCAGCACCTGCAAAGAACAATATATAGCGATAACAGAACACAGTTACACCTTTAGTCAAAAATAGGCTTTTGCTTACTTTCTGGGCTGAAGTCAATGTTTTTCGGGTTTACCCTAACGTCACGCGTATAAGGCGCACTTTTTCGAATTTTCAAGCGAGCCGCTCAGCCGCTTCACTGTATTCCGTTTAATCCTTACATCGCACAGTTCTCTCAAGCAATCTACAGCACATTATAGGACCCTTTAGTTGTAAAGTCCTTTGGCTTGTCTAGGCTGGTCGATTTTGGCAAAAAAAATCCCCCGCGCCTTATACGCGTGAAATTAGGGTACTTGAAATCTAAAATCCATGACTTTGCGAAAAGTTCAATTAGCGACCTATTTTGGCAAGCCAAAAGTTGCGTGATCCGTTTGCTTTCAATGGTGGATCGGCTCTTGCCTTTGCACGGTTTACCTACACCTTGATAGGGTGCTGTGACAAAAATTTTAGCTCATGATGTTGGCTGCACCTTGCTATATGAATTTCGTGACAGACAGGCATACACACAGACAAACAGACAGACGCTTAGCGCTTTATTATATGTCAAATTTAGGTTGCCTCTGTTATGATCGATTATTCCAGGCGCGCAAGCTCAACATAGTGAAGCTCTAGTCTCGCGCTACTTGATGCGTCTCTCACCTTCTCGCAAAATGTGTGCAAAAATGTGGAGGTAACATTAGTTCGCAATCTACGTCACGATTGCTTCAACTTTAGTGCGTGTTAGGGTCGCGACCTTTCTTTCGAGATCTTTGCTAACGCGATTTGACGGGTGTGTTAAAAGATAGTGGGCAAGTCAACGGTCTGTGGAGTGACGTTAAGCTCGAGCTTATGTTGCGAGCTTCTACGTTACCTCCAAGAGTGGCTTACCACGGGCCCTTGAGTGCAAAAAAGTGTGGAATTCAATTAATTTGGAAAGATATAAGCTTACAAGAACTATGCTCAGTCAACTGACATTTCTCAAAGCTCGAGCAAATTTTGTAAAGATCACCAATTCATAGGCTGATTTAAAGAACTTATTGCTTATCGGCAGTATCGTGTATTGTACTGAACCACACTACAGTATGAAAAGGAAGCGATATAAATCTGGCGATAGTTGTTGGCTGATTCAATCTGCGCGTACCCAAGCACTGCTTCATGTTTTTCACTGCTTCTTTGTGTTAATGTTTTCGTCTCAATTAAGAGCGGTTCATACCGCAAATGACCACTTTCCACTTCTATTTCGTCTATTATCTCCATGAACTTTCTAATGTTATATCTTTTTTCATCTAACAAACCATTCTATGTGCATTCTACGCGTGTCACGCAGTCCTCAAACATCACCTACTCTTTCACTACATCGATTTTTAGAAATTTTTATAGTCTTCATAATTGCTACCATAAATACTATTGAACTTGTCTTCGTACTATAATGGACCCTTCCAAACGATCACATTCTTTTAACAAAGGTTAAATCTGTAAACATCGTTTGCGCTATGCTATTATCGCAAATTATTGCTTGCACATTGTGTGATCACACATCAAACATCGTTAAGTATAAACTGGTGGGTTTAAGTTCTATAGTGATATAGTGCCTACAACACTTGTGGATAAAAGGTTGGCCACTGAACGCACAATACCAAGCAATGCGATCCATGAATGGTTCTGTACGCGCAAGTATGTCAGCACCGCAAATACTCTATATCACCGTTCACAGCTGCTCGACCATAGACGAGCTAGCCACTTATGAGACTACCCCGTCTCCTTAATTGATGTGGTAATTGAAATGTTGGTGGAGACCCTATTGAAAGTGTAAACAAAACCGAGAAACGCCCTGCCTAATGAGGTCGCGCCAAACAACAAACAAAAAAAGCTGTAATAAACCTTACCCAGTAAAAGCAGTTTGACGACTTTTTGCGATGCTATATGACCTTGCATCATCTCTTTGTCGATAGCTTTACTCTTTTGAGCCAGTTGCTTGTCCTCAGCGGACTGACACAAGCCCATCGTTGCTTCGATAATCTTCTCTGCTAACAATATGTGTACATCTAAAAATTACATTTCTCAGACATCAACCCATGGCAACGTTACATAATTATAAACAAGGCGATGTTGTTAGGGAGCTAAGGCGCTACACACCCTTACTATTCATCTGTACAGACATGCTAATGATTTGATTCAAATGGAACCATGATAATTTGTGATTTGCGTTGGAAATTAAAAATAATAAACTTTACAAATTCATGGGTAAAATCGCAAATAAGAGATTGCGAACGGAGAAATCGGCGCAAATTAAAAGCTTGGTGTTACCCTATAGCTGACAGATAACGTTGAAACTAAAATGTCTCTTCTTGTCCGTCACCCTTTTTGAGAGAGAGTTAATGATGTACTTTTAAGGTAGAGTCCTTAGAGCTATGTCTAACTAGCCCGCGGGTAGATCTGACCTTAAAATCCAGGGGGTTGTAGAATACCCCTTGATAAGCCTCGTATTCAATGGCTAATGATGGAGTTTACAAGTACATGAAAAAATATGAGTGGGCTACAAGAGGCGTAATCGAGAGCTCAAAGGAATCGAACGAGACAATGAGATGACTAAAAGGGGATATAGAAGTGCAGAACTATTTTACGAATTGGCAAGTTTCGGGGAGGCTAATCCCCTTAAGTAGTTTTAAGATGGCGTATACTCCATAACCCAAATTTATTTCTTGCGCAAGACATCAAAATTTATGTCCCATAACTCTGAGAGGTAAGCAGATTAGAGGTATTTCATGAGATTCTCTCCACTAAAAGAGTACAGTTATAAAAATTTAGCTTCGCGAGAAAAACTATTAGATGAATTATTTACCGACAACGAAATATTGAAAATGTGTGAAAAATTTTGTGATCACGTTTATAGTAAAAATAAAAATAGAAATAGAAATAGAGATAGTTATATACAAAATGTGGTGCCATAATTTGTTTAACATGGAAATCAATTTTGCAGTGAACTAATTTAACTCCGTTTCGTTCCTGTCCTTAGACGGAGTAAAGGAGCTCAGAACTCTCCCCGGAGATAAAGTATGGGCTAGATATACTCTTTAATCCAAATGAGAGTTTTCATTTAGCATCTAAGCTATATCCGTTGAAGTTTGCGACTGGAGATAGCGGGAGAGGTAGAAAAACCTGCATGTAGTATCAGTACCATATTTAATAAAAATGAAATTTCTTCAATAACACACAGCACAAAGGTCCCTGGAAGGTCAAAGTCCAAAGCGCGCCAAGGGTACAGTAATCAAAGCATCTCGCCATAGAATTGAAAAACTTGGGTTGTTTAGAGTACTATAGCGCTTCGAAATGAATCACGATTTGATTTGAATCTAAGTCTTACTAGTTTCAAGTGAAATGTTAGATCTATTGCTGAAGAAGAGTCTCCAAAATCTCATGTTATTTACATGATGACGCAAATTATACACTTATTTGAGCAAACAAAAAGAGCACAAACGCTGTACAGCTTCTGCTGAACATCGCAAATGAGAATGTATTAGAGAATTATTTGCAAAAACGTCAATTCTGTTCATTCGGTGAATTGCTGTAATTGAGCCCTATGTCTCTCGACTCGAGCCTCAATTAGCGCTTTGATTAAGTTGTGACGCACACCTCCGGCAGAATAGCTTTATTTACAACATCACTTTGACTAGATTTCATAAAAAGGTGCTTTTGTTGAGCAAAATGCTACTTCGAATGTTGCTACATGAATGATTTCCGCATATGCAAACAATAATTGTAAAGGAAGTCGCCGATGGTAATCAAACAAACGTGTAAATCAAACTCTGTGCAGAAAACAACCACATCATCGTTTGCTGGGTCTATTCATCATAAATCAAAGCATCTGCAGAAACGGATAATTCTTTAAGATAAAAATGGAATCAAAATTATCAGCAAGGTATTCGAATTTATCATTTCTGAAAGGCGCTTCTTGAGAAAGAACTAACACTAGTTGCGCAAAGTCTTTAATATTAGACATTGAATATATTAGTTTAAGGAAAACTCCAACAGTCTACAAAGTAGAACTTCAACCTCAAGTTCTCATACATGAGAAGTACAAGCGAAGACCACTCTTGTCCAAGTTTTCAAAAAACAAGTTTATCTTGGATTTTTTAGTTTGAGCAATGTTTTTTTATAGCGACGGCCTAACAGTTGAAACTAATTAACAATGTGTGTCGCGACTCCGTGATGCGAGCAACTCCTGGAAATAGAGAGACGGGAGCGCTGGTTGCCGTACTGTCGGTAGCGCTAATATTTCCGCTGCCAGACATCTTTCGCTGGAGCGCGCCAAAGAAGGGCTATTTATAACCGCAACCTAAGCGCTATATGCCCCTCTGTTCATAGTTTTCTTTACAACTATTGTTTATTGATTGAATTTCATTGTGTTTGGCGGCGACAAGCTGTGACAAGCTCGCGCGTGAGTGTTCCGAGTAAGCTTCGACAAGCAGTTGGACTTGGATGGAAGATTCGTTTGTGGTTTGGGGATTCGAGCAAGTACTATCCGTGCGAGCGAAAGATGATAATGGTCCCGTACGGACCTGGCGTCGTGCGCTAGAGAGACCTTGAATACATTTAGCGGACCGAAGGCTTTCTGTGCCATTAATGGCGCGGGGTATCGCGATGTAAGAGTTTAGTAATTTTAGTTGGATTCAGTTCCAAGTAACTCTTTGTGTTATTCAGGATAAATCTATGATAAGTTTATCGTGCACAATCTCTTGCATTCTAATGGCGTTTGTATTGAATATTAGGGTAAGGGTAGTCCGCGACAAAGTCGCGCAGGCCATGCCCAGTTCGTGCGGTCTTTGGTGACCTCTTAGAAAGTACGGAAATGGATTGTAAGCTGAGGAGAGGCAAAAGCCGCTAAGCTTCAAGGAGCAGTAACATTGTACCTCTTTTCTACAAAAAACGAACGATATCATAGGTGACTGTGTGCCCAACGAAAAAAGGATAACATCTTCTAGTTGTAGCTCTTCTTCTCCCTCTTCTTATGTAACAAGCATTATTGTGTTGAGTCGAACTTATGCAAGTGAACGATTCTGTAGGCAAATCTCTTGTTCTGTTTTGCGAGAAATTTCATCCCTTCTTTTCTATGCTTTTCTGCCGCTGCATGTATCTTGATATCCTTCTAAAAAACTGTTTTCACCAACTATTTTCACTACTTTTCGTTTCGTTGTTTTGTTAACAAATTCTTGACAAAGCAACTAACTGTCAACAAACTCAGGTGTATTGGTCTATTACATACCCAGTAAAACGCTTCTTCTTTGTTAGATTTCTCCTTTTTTTATATATCACCTATTATTCATTAGATGCTTCTCTTCTGCCTGTCGTGTCGCACCAGCCCGATCAATTAATTATATAAATTTTTGGTCTATCGCTCAATAGTTCTAGGCAAATATCAAAGTATTCGGTTGTCAAGAAAATAATGTCGTTTTTTAGGTTGCTCCAACAAAGCAACCAGAGTCAACTCTACAGAGGATAACGAATATTTTTCGATATAGCGAAGCTAGCTCTACAAGATGGCGTTCATGATTTTACGCCAAGCTCGATCCACGAAAAGTTTGAACTCAAAATCTAAAGACTTCCAAATGCTCAAAAAATCGAAAAAATCAGATCTTCGTCCACATAATTTATACGGAAGACCCACTCATATACTTTGATGCATTCGATATCAGACACCCATATATGCAGTTGCTGTGTTTTCTCCTTGACTAGAAACAGAAAGAACGAAAATTTTCCTGATTTCCTCAAAGCAATGCTGAGCCCTTCTTGCACACGTAGTTCTAAACTACAAGCCTATTAAGTATAACTGCAGATTTTCAGCCCATTCCAAGCGGGAAATAGCAGTCTTCGAGAAATAATAAATTCAGCTGTCTTCTTTTCAGTTTCAGTGCTGAAACCGAGATTTTACAAAAACTACCTCTCGGAATGGGCTGAAAATCTACACTTGTACTTACCTAGGCTTGTAGTGTAGAACCACATATGCAAGAAAGGCTCAGCATTGCTTTGAGAAAATCATGAAAATTTTTGTTTTCTCTGTTTCTAGTCAAGGAGAAAACACCGCAGCTGCACATATGGGTGTCTGATATCGAATGCATCAACGTGTGTGAGTGGGAAGTCCGCATAAATAATTTGGACGAAGATCTGATTTTTTTCGAATTTTTGGGCATTGGGAAGTCTTTAGATTTCAACTTACTTTTCGCGGATCGAGCTTGGCGCAAAATCATGAACGCCATTTTGTAGAACTAGCTTCGCTCTATCGAAAAATACCCCTTATCCTTTGTAGGGTTGACTCTGGTTGCTTTGTTGAAGCAAGCAAATAAAAAAAACGACATTATTTTCTTGACAACCTAATATGTGATGTCAGAAACACACCATTCTTACCATAGAAGAGAGCTTAGGAGATAGAAGATACGGCGACAAGAGTAACAATTTTGAGATTGCTGCCAAGAAATTACGTAAGAAGCTACAAGGGTTTGTGAAAATACACTTCAGAAAATTAAGCTTTATCTTAGAGTCAAAAAAATGCATGATGAAGTTACACCAGCAAAATACCAACTTATATAGTAGCTCATAACGAGAGTATATTATAAGGTGAAGTTACGTGATTTCACTTTCTTTTGTTCGCCACCAGCCTTTCGATTGAGGCAAAAAACAATTCTGAACTTAGTGCTTCATTGCTTTTAGTGGAAGAGTTCAGATAAGTCAGTACAAAAGACCATACTCAGAAAAGTTCAAATGGTAAGAACTATTGAAGCCTTCCGTGTGCGAAAATGATCCTAAAATCTCAAGGTTAGCTTTTAAAATTGTGTATTATCTTTTCCTAATTTATTCAACTATTGATTTTTCAAAATGGTACGTATAAAGAGTATTCATTGATGCAGTCATATCTAATTGATAGCTTCACTAAAGTGATGGAACGACGTTGATCGCAGCATCAAGCAAAAGTAATTAGGAATTTAGTAGAGCTGTAACAGAACAAATTCCTCGGGGATTACTCGTACATATGCAATGAAGCGCA